CGCACAATCAGGCCGTTCTGCACGTTAACACCCCGTGTCTTTTCGACATGCCGACACACGAAGGACTTGCAAGTTGACCATGATTGACTGGGTTTCTGAGGTGTGCTTGTTTCTGCGCAAAGTGCCACTGCTGATCTGTCATGAGAGTTCGAAGTACCGAACAAGCAGCCGAATGGTTGCCACATGTCACCACAATGACAGCTTCACTTTGCACGATTCAATACCACGAGCGAGCACTCGTGACATAGTTGGCAAAAACCAGGCTTTGCAGTTATGGTCTTTGTTGTCCGCCATCTCCAAACCGAAGGCATCGCGAAGGCGCATCACAAAATTCCCAAGGACCAAAAAATGGAGACCAACCAGACATGACGGACACAAAAGCACCATGTTAAGCAGGAGCAACATGGGCGAGTCCCCGCAATTGCAACGCATCAAACGCTTCGAGAGTGTGCAAGTTCCCACGCACATGGCACAACTCACTGCAAGGGCCTCGCAAGCATGCCCAAGAAGCATCAAGCAGCACTATCGCATCCCACTTCTTGGCGCAACTTGTGCACCCCAGCAAAAAAGGGGAGGGCGGGCGCGGAAAAGCTGCCCACAACTTGGATAGGCACCAATCACAAGCGCTGGCTTTCGAGTGTGCTGCAAGTGTTCGCAAACATCCCAGGGCGCATCACTATACTTCCAAGGCACAACTTTGCAGATCAAATCGCGTCAGATTGGCCGCCGAGATCTCGTTCAGGTGCAAGGCGGAAACCCAAACCTCAACGCAATGTCGTCGAATGAAAACCCTGTGAGGAGTCTGTGGCCCGTCTTGCGCTCGCCCCTGACAGTTGAGGTTGCTGCAATGCATTGGAAGATCATCGGCCCGTCGAGTCAAAGCGCGAGTGTCACCTTTGCAGTAGGTGACCATCCAACACATCCACAAGGGAACTCGCCACATCCACGGAGAAGTCCATCGAGTTAGTCAAGGATTGTTGATTTTATGTGTTCGGGTCTACGATATATTATATTTGGTCATCTTCATTGTGTTTCACAGGAGATTTGCCTAGGTTGTTGATACACGATGAATGGATTTACGAGAACATCTAACAGATCCAACACATCGACCAGGGGACCGAAGGGCATCGCCTCCGATTGTGAAATACACTGACACCCACTACAGACATACAGTAGCAAGAACGGGAGCAGCTGACCGGGGTTTTGGGTGGAGATTGCTTGTTTGCCTTGTTTTTTGCCTTTTTTTTTTTGGCCTGCGGGGCATGGATTGGGTGGGGTGCACGAGGGTGCGGGGGCTGCGGGTGCTGCGGGGAGCTCGCGAGGCGTGGGGGCGGCGGGGAGGGGGGGTGCTCGAGGCCCAAGCCTTTACGTACAAGTGGGCTTCGAAGCAATATACGGTTGGAAGCAACATACCGTATTGACGTGACTTAGATTAGGCTTGATGCGATCTGTCATACAAGCATTGTATTATTCTATCTGATACGAATTCGCTATGATATGTATATTGAGGCAAAACAAACTCTTACATCAATAGTAAGTTCCAGATTGGTATATGAATATACGAATACTGTATCAAGAATATGCAGAACTTGGCTAATATGTTAATAGACAGCTACTCTTACTTACGGTTATTATTTTTGATTCATAATGTTAGTATTTGCTTCTATTCTGCTATGGTACAGAATAGTATATCGTACAATAAAGCCCTACCGCATATTATATTATATACACAGTATCATGGTGTACTCTATTCTGCTTGGTAATGCTATCTTATAATACAATGTTATATTAAATTATTGTAAAATAGCGTATAAAGATACACAAAACCATGTAGATATATAGACTATAGGATAATTATATTATATTGTATTGTGTTGCATTATTGTTTGAAATCTTCTTTGAGGGTATAATTGGTTATATTATATCATCTTATACTAGATATAGCAATACTAGTCTTTGTTATATAACGTTTGACTGACTTGTAACACATTTTACAGTATTACCAAAACTGGAACTTACTATTGAAGTAAGAGTTTGTTTTACCTCGACATACATTTCATAGTCATAGAGAATTAATATCAATATAAGATAGAATAATACAATGCTCGTATGACAGATCGCATCAAGCCTAATCTAAGTCATGTCAATACGGTCTGTTGCTTCCAACCGTATATTGCTTCGAAGCCCACTTGTACGTAAAGACTTGGGCCTCGAGCATCCCCCTCCCCGCCACCCCCATCTCGCGAGCTCCCTCCAGCCTCCGGGCCCCCTGCACCCCACCCAACCCACGCCCCCAAGGCCAAAAAAAAAAGGCAAAACAAAAGGCCAAAAATACTAACCTCTCCGAGGGTTTTCCTCAAATGCAGCGATCCGACTCTTGAGGTGCAGAGCCCACGGCAGTCAGCTCGAGTAGGGAGGAGCGCAGCTGAGATATGTATCTAACGGAATCTAACGATACACCGAGATGGATGACTACACTGGGGCAGCTGTAAAATTCACATGCTCCGCCACGCGGCTTCAGACGCTAAATCTGGCATCTTGTTGAGAGTAACTTCGGCAGTCTCGCCATCGGCTTTGTTACGGAACATCCAAGACAAAGGACGGGCGCTTCATCCCTCTGCTCTTGGCCTTGGCCTTAGCTTTTGCCGCTTCTGCTTTGGGGGGCTTGGCTTCGGATTTCTTTTGCAACTTCTGCTTTGGGAGGCTGCCCCCTTGGATACGTGGGATTGTGCTTGTAGTCCAACATCTCCCTGATCTGCTTCTCGACATGACATCAGGAGACAGCGAATAAAAGCGGACAAAGATCGTCTGGATCGCATGGCGGCCCGGGCACCACCGGAACCAGGGGTCGGGGTCTGCAGTCTTTTGGCGGACGACCATGTGGCCATGTGGCACCCCCCCCCCAGCTTCCCCATTCATCACATATTTGCGCAGCTCCGCAAGGCTGGAGCCCTTCTCCGGCAAGCGGATAGTCCTGTTTGAGTCTCCCACAGAGTCACAGCTGGACGTCCCAAGCGTGCAAAGAGTTCTGGATGAGAAGCATTCTGCGCAGCACCCACTCCATGGGCTCGCAAGCACTGTACTCGGTCGTCCGCCCGACCAGGTTCTCACGAATCCTGCCGCCGAAAGCGAAGTGTGACTTCCCCATATTTCCCATTTTCACCAACTTGCCCGGCAGGACCATGACGTTCGCCACACCAAAGGCATCATGCCACTCGGCGAAGTGCTGGCATACGAAGTGACACGTGCTGAGGGTGCTTACCGGACAAAGAGGCTGCCAGACTTCGCAGGTGCTTCCACTGAATGTGCCCTCTGTCGAGGTGCTGGAAGAAGGCTTCCTTGTCGAAGCTCACGGCCAAATGTGAGACACGGTTGGATGACATGCCCGATGCGCCCGTGTCTCGGTGGATGTGGGTCCCTCAAAGAGACGACTTGCAGGTCCACCGCCCCCTCTTTCTCTTTCTCCGCTTCCTTCTTCTGGCGTTCGAGCTCGGCTTGGCGCAGTCTGTCACGTCTTTCCAGTTCCTTCATCGTCAAGTGTTGGGCGACTATGTTCGCCGCAAGACTCGCAGCTGCCGTGGTCAACGGCCCAAGCGTCGACTCGAGCTCTGCCTTCGGTGGGACAGCGACCAGGGGCATCGGCATTACAGCCTTGACCTGAGGCTCCTCTTCCTCCTCCTCCCCAGCCGTGACCTGGGGCTCTTCTTCTTCCTCTTCGGCTGCATCGGCCACACGGCCACAAAGGCCACTTCGGCCTTCAGGGCAACAGCCGCAGCAAGTTGTTCGCTTGTGGCTGCGACCGTCCGCTCGCTCACGGGTGAGCAGCGCGAGCCTGGCGAAGAGTTTGCCGCGCACTCCAGTCCGGAAAGTCCCCCTGCCTTTCGACTCTCAGTGAGCTCTCAGCCATGCTCGGAAGGGTCTGAGCCCTGTGTAGCCCTGCCGGGACAACGGAGGGTCTCTGCCACGCTGCATGGCTTCGGGCCCCTTGCCTACCGAACAGAAGAAAGTCTTGAACCTGCAGTGGGTTCGAGGATCCTGCACAAATGCTTCCAAGTCGTGAGGTCAATCCAAAGGTTGTGGCGACTGGCAGCACAAACAAAGTCTGGGTGTGTCAGCAGTGTTTGCACCGCTTCGCCTGTCCCTGGAGGCTAGCGGTAATGGTATACCAAAGCCGCCGCAACGACCTTGAGAGATGCGACGACAGTGCTCAGGTTTCGCACACTCCCCAACTCACATGATGACTCCGACCCCCTCTAGACTAAATGTCGTATTTCCAGTAACTTCGCATGCTGGATGCGCTTGCTGCTGCTGGATCTGCTGGATACCACATGCCTACTCGTGGCTACAAAATCACTCGAAAATGCTACAGAATCTGGGTGGAGGGGGTTCCAACTCAGGCTCGACTCCCTCATCCATGGGTATTTCACGGCTTGGTCGTGCCGCAGATGAATCGAGTTCTATCCGCTATGCAGGGGAACATGACATGCACAATCAGACGCTGGACCGCATTATGAAAAACAATTGTTCGATAAGCATGGCCCAGCACGGCTGATAGTTGCAAACCACAAGCAGGTGAAAGGAAACCCGTGCACTTACCAGCATCCATGAGCTGACTTTGTTCATGAATCTATCTTCATGGTCGCCATGAAAGTAAAAGTAAAGTGGTTTCGGACTGGGGTGCGCACCAAGCTCCAGTGAGCTGGAGAAAGAATTGCTGCGGGACGAATGGCCGATGGTGCTGAAGCTGCGAAGCACAAGGTGTGGCTGCTTGGGACTCTATATGGCGTAAATTCCTGGAAAGTAGTCTCAGAACGAAGTTTGCAGTCTATCGAACGCCCGCGCACAAGATGGTGTCCACCGGACTACGACTTTTGAATTAGCTAGCTGGCCAAGAAAGGTAGGTTTTTTGGAACGGCTGCACGGAGTTGCTGTGAGTCCTCCATGCGCTGCACAGGCCGGGGACTCATCCCGACTCAGCACACTTGCTGCAAACGCCTTGTTCACTCGAAGCTTTGATGCTGCGGCGCTGGTGGCTTGAAGCCTGTCTTCTTCACCTTAGACCAAAGGAGGCTTGAGCCACAAGCCCTGAAGACATAGTCGTCGCAGCTTCATGACTAAATTGCTAAGGAACGCACTTTAACAGATCCACGCTTCCCCGGCTTGTGAACGACGGTGGGTTTCATCTCACGAAAACTTCGTGGCTCCAGCTTCAGGCTTGGTCCGCCGCTGGATGGGGACGACCCATGTCCATACAAGCTTGACTGCCTACTTGGCCTCATCTCGTCAAGCTTGCTGGTCGGTGCCAAATTTACCATTTTGAGTCTTTGCCGGTCGAACATTAAACTTCCGTGGCCCTCGCGCAACAAGTACACAAACTGTTGACAGGGACTAAGAGCTTTCACTTCACAGTCCACAATATCTCCGACCTGCATATCTGCAAATTCCTTCAAGTCGTCCACATCCACGACAGCTCCGGTGATTGGCGCATGGTTGAGTTTAAAATATGCGACTTCGGGCTTTCTTGAAGCCAACATTGCCTGCAATTTCACACCAGCACGGAGGGATGAGACGCCTTCAAGGGGAAGGTGTGAGCTATTCATCTTCGCGTAGTCAACATTGTGAATGCTTCGACGCTGTATCAGAGTTCCAGCTGGGTCACCTAGCTCTCTGTTCAGAGCTCTCTGTAGTGGAAGCAGGTGGACGACGCTTTCAACGGCATGGCGAAGCAAGCTTGAACACAAAGGTCTTTCGTGCCACTGCATTGGAGGAATACTGTTGCGCTCTAATCGATCCCAGCGATGGAGCTGGAAGGCATTCAGATGGAAGGTGCGCAACACTTCTGACAGGCCAGCCTGGTAAGCATCAAGCCCCTGCCTCTCTAGCCATGCCGCAAAAGCAATCTGAGTGTCGTACACACTGTGTAGCGGAGTGCTGTATTGGTTTGCCAAAACAGATGACAATTCTCGGCAGTCGTGTAAGACTTTGACGATGCCGGTGTGGAGCAATAAAGCTTGCAGCGGCTCGAGGATTTCTCGTCCACAGGCCTCAACATCCACAATAAATACCTCCCTGTCAGTCGCAAGTTGCAGCGTCGAAAGCTTTCCAAATCGCCCCAGCCTGGCTCCTTTACAATCAAGGGCAACACACGGCGACTGCAGGACTCTATCAGTCACCGTCTTGCATTGATCGATGCTGCTGACCAATCGGATGGGCAGCCTTCGCAGGCCCAAGTCCTAAGAGGGCTCATGCCAAGTCCGACGCTGTCGGACAGAGCAAGCAAAATTCTGGAAGTGTCGGAATCACTACTTTACACTCATATGCCATGACCATGCAACTCTCGAGGCAGAAAATCCGAAGGCACAAGTCAACGTCTCTTTCTATGTCGACAACGGAGGTCTGAGGCCAGAACCTGTGCAGCCCCATTCTCCGGGATCTCGGCCCTCGCGCGGCCAAGCCAGTCCTGTATAGCCTGACTGTAGCTCGAGGGCCACTGGGAGCGTGTCGTCCTCGACCGCCTCAGGCAATGTCGAGTGCACCTCCTTTCTGTTTACAGCGACACGGACAAGAAACTGCACTAAAGCTCTTGCCCGACCAAAATCGCTTCCAGCTCACGCTGCTGTCACACTGGGCTCTCAACCGGTTCATTAAGCACAGCATGTCAAGAGTTACATCGCCGATGACATCGCGAGACTTGCAACGTCAACGACACTCTCTGGGGAGCCCAGGCCTGGTGTACCCTCAACCCAAGACTTGTCGGAGCAATCGCGGCTCGCAGTCCGTAAGGCCGGCACGCACGATGTTGCAGCTTGCCCATGCCGCCCATGCCATGGCGCAAAGTGGTGAGCATAGTGCAGCATAGCACATGTGCAGTGCAAGGCTGTCAGAAGCAGTTTGAGGTCTACCAAGTCTTCCAGGATGTCTACTCGATGTGCCTAGGTGTTCTGTCTTCTTGTCGTTTGAGATCATCATCAGAAACCAGCTGTGCTTGCGCAATCGGCTCGAAGGGGCTCGATCACGCTCCGATTTCTGTGCAGGCTCTGTGCCGAGAGATAGACGTGAAGCTCGGGACGCTCCTTGCGCAGAAGCTTCGTCCCAGAAGCCCACTCCTCTGTGGAGTCAAACAACCCGATCGACGGCCATGGCCGGCAATCAGAGTTTCACGCCGGACGGACTCACAGTACCGCTAGCTTGAAGTCCTGGCAGCTCGCTCTAGTAGAAAGCAGACATGCGCTTTCCAAGTTTCTAAGGACAACACCGGGTTGAGCAGCGGTTGAGCTAAACTTCAGTCCAGAACAGCTGCGCGGCCCCCGCTCTCCGAAGAAAGAAGAAGCGATCAGAGCAAGCTTCGCCCACAACAATCAGAAAGCAACGCCAGTATTTACAAGCTTTGCCTGGCTGTTGCAGTGTCATGCGCCTGTTTCTAACATGTTGGAGCCTGCGCCTTGGATCACGTGCGATCACACGACTCAACTTTACTTGGTGCATGTGTGTGAGTATGTATGCTTCAAGCGCGAGCGAGCGAGAGAGAGAGAGAGNNGAGAGAGAGAGACACAGACAGACAGACAGACAGACAGACAGACAGACAGACAGACAGACGGACGGACACAGACCGACAGACAGACAGACAGACAGACAGACAGACAGCCAGACCGCCAGACAGCCAGACAGCCAGACAGCCAGACAGCCAGAAAGACAGAAAGACAGACAGACACAGAAAGGAGCATGCAGCCGAAGAAATGTTGCTGTCTCGTGTCTCCCTACATCTACACGCAGAAACATGGGGGTGCGACTATTATGACTGTTCTGCCACCGTTCCAACTGTTTGGCAAAATTTGCGGAATCTACGGAAGAAGTCGTACACGCCAAATCCATGATGACGTAAGTGAATTATGAGATGATGTGGCAACGGAAATTTTGTTGATGAATCGGAAAACCCGCAGTTCCGCCCCAGAGAAACGGTTTCGATATGGTTCGATAGGCGGGTGTGGGCCTTCAGGTTTTTCGTTTTGGGGGTCTGGGGTTTCACAAATACTTTAGGGCCCTTGGAGCTCAGGATGTAGTTTGGTAGGCTCCTGGAAACAGGCTCTGAAAGGGGCACGTCTGTACAAGACCAAAGCTGAGCTATGGTATGGCAGTCGCAGAATTTCAGTCGAGCGTAAGGTTTGCGGTTCGGTTTCAGTTAGGAGGTTTGCGGCTCCGGGTCTGGAGTTGAGGGTTTCTTCTGGACCACAGCGAGATCTTTGAGGACCGTCTGGACCGTCTGGTGTTGTCCCTCCTATTGCTTTCTTTCCTAGGCTGGGTTGCTTGGTCTTGCGCCTTCTTGTGCTAGTGCTCCCGTCCTCGACTTGGAGGTCACCAGCTCCCAGCGACAGAGATCGGGCCTCTGCCTCCCAAGGATAGCTCGCTCACTCATGTCTCACTTCTCTGCTTGCGACTATGCTTTTGTTCCAAACCCCAAGCCCTAACCCACCCATGAATGCAGCCAGCGATTCCCAGTTCGATGGTTCTCCTGCGTTTGGTTCCGACACACAGACTGCCCGAAGACATAACTAACACTTTCTACACAATTACATTGCGCATTCGGGAGAACTGGCAGGGGGGCTTGAACTTGGCTAGCAACAAAAACAAAGATTTGAAAACAAGCTGAAGGCGTTCCAGGCTTGGCCGTCGGATCAGTTCGAACGCGAAGTTTAAGTATCCGACATTCGCCGCAAGCACCGGCACATGCTTGCAGAAGATCAAGGCCAACGTGGTCACTTTGACCCTCTGGTTCGCCCTTACCGGTATAATCCGGTATAACGTAATAATCAACTCAGTAATTGAAGAATATGAAATTCGAAATCAAGATTGTCGTAGAAAACGGTTTAGATTCCCTTAAGGGTTCCTTTTTAAGGCTCCACTGACAAACTCACGTTCCACATGGTTTCCAATCCTGAAGGTGAACCTTTCAGGCACACAGTCTTCTTGGCTTTGATAAAAAAACACCGTTGTAAGGATCGCTCTTCGTGCAGATGTTGTGTGTCATCGTGTGAAGAAGTGAATAGTGACCAGTTCGCGAAGCCCAAGACCCCTAAAACGCCTGCCACTACAATCATTACCACTACCACTACCACTGCCACGATGACGACGACGACCACCACCACCACCACTACTACTACTACTGCGACTGCCACCGCGACTACGACTACGACTACTGCCACGACTACCCCTTCGCATATGGCTACGGCCACGGCTACGGCTACCGGATGTGGCTGCAGCCACGACTACAACTATATATGGCTACGCTTACGCCCACCCCCGCTCCTACTCCGACTCCAACTCCGACCCCTACCGAAACCCCTGCCCCCTGACCATTGCCCCCATCCTCCTCCTACTCACCCCTGCTCACTCCTGCCACTACCTCCCTCTCCTCCCATCGCCGCCACCACACAAGTAAACGTAACTGCATAGGACCCACAGTTGTCTTGGCAAAACCTCCGAACCCAATTCCTGAAGTGCTATAGCCCTCTCTGATGGTGCAGCGGCCGCCAATGCTGCTAGCCCTCTTCGGGACAGAGTGAAGGCTGAGGGAGTAACATTGTGATTGTTCGTTGAGGTTTGAGCCTACCTGCCCTTCTGCAACTGGTACTACCTACGATACATCCCGCCTCGAGCCATTCGGACACTGGCAGTGCTTTCTCCTTCTCGCCGGTCTGGCATGACATGGCAAGCCACGACTAACGAGTTCTTGTGTGCAATATCCCTGCCTGCGGTGCTACGAGTTCTTGACCTCAACAGGCGGCCCCCTGGCCACTGGGCCCGCGACTCGAATCTGGCAAAGAACCAGACACCACATGACAACCCAAGAGCCACACATGCCAACACCTTGCATGTGGTAATGCGGGCTACTACGATGTGACACTGGTATGCATTCGGGCATCTCAGGGCAGCACAGACTCTTGATAGAACTTGGAAGTTTTACCATCGAGAACCTTTTGTATCACCTGGCAGCAACGATCCACACAAAAACACACACACACACACCCACACCCGCGCGCGCGCTCTTTCATTGCCAGGCCAGGCCTGGTCGTTAGCAAGACCCGCTTTCCTCCCGAGCATCACGTCGCGAATTGAAGCCGTGGGCGAACATCGGTGGAGGGAACATGCGATTGTCAAAGTCGCGACGCGACCAACAAAGACCAGAACCATGAAACGAGAAGAGAAGCCGACACTGCTTCCGATTGGAAGCATGAAGCAAACAAAGCCATTCCCGACTCCCAGAACCGAAAAGCACAGACCCGGAGAGGACTGCAGCGTCCGGTATCTCTTCTGGGTTTGATCAACTTCAGGCACTCTGGATGCTGTATATTTCTGAAATGCACTTTCCATCAGATGCAACATGCCTGTCCTCGGTCCCAGCTGTTCCAAGTAAGCTGCTTTGAAAACCTCGCGCTCTTTCCGCAAAGTCTCGGCCTGAATTGAGCACAGACTGATGCTGTGCGAGGGCTCCGGGCAGTCCTCTTGCCGCAAGATCACCGCTTCACGAAGTGTAGTCTACAACTGACAAGCCAGGGATGTCTACGAGTAATTACGGCAGCATGCTGCATTTCTCTGGCAATCTGCCGGAAGCAATCATCGGAACTGAAGCAGAGATGTCATGTGTGCGGGATAACATGTGTGCCGCATCCCCACTGTTTACACGTGTTGCGCCAGTGCGTAACGAACGGAAACGAGACCACACATGCCTAGGACGGCTGAATATCATACGCACCATTTCGTAAAAGTGAACCCTCTTTGAGTTCATCTTCGCGTACCATGAGAGCCCCTTGCTAAAGATCTTCAGCTTACAACAACAAATCTGATTGGGCGTGGGACCAGAATGTGACAGTAGCGTGCCATTGGGGCAACGCTGGGGTTTGCACCGTCACAAGGGACGGGAGGGGATCGGGGGGGCTTGACACTTTCACTGATCCGGAGACCATTGCCTGCCCGTTAGAACTGGTAAATGCGTCTGAAAGCAGAACACGTAGTACCGGATCACCCAGCAAGTTCAAAACAAACAATGTCCTGACCAACTTCCTCCGACAATTTCCAAAGTTTAGAGCAAGTTGGGTATAGTTGGGTCGAAGGCTCTGAGCCGGATGAGTTGAACAATACGTTGCTGAGCAATCATACGCGGATTCCTGAATAATATCTTCTACGTCATGCATTGCATCCCTTAGCCACACGTTTCCGGACGAGCGAAGAAAAAGAAGCTCGTGACAACGTAAGCTTTCACCCATACGTGCATAGATCCCTGATCGTCGGACTTTTCCAAGTGCTTTCGCTTCGGTGGCGTTTTCTGCGATTCGACTCCATCGGAGTCAGACCTTTTCATCGATGTGGACTATTTCTTGCAAAAGTAGTTTCTCGATGTTCTGGGGGACCGACCGTTTCCCGGTCGAGTCTCGCAGAAAGAAAGCAGAGGAAAACAAGTGTCAACAAGGGTGGGAAGAAAAAAAGATAATTTTCATAAGAACTTAAGCCAAATGGCAACGGTATATGCAACAGCTTCGCATTCAATCGGATTCAGCAGATCCACTCGAGATCCGATAAGTGATTTGATGAATGCAATGAGTTGTCACTTCGCACACGAGTGTGCTACACGACAACATAAGCTTTCACCCATAAGTGCAAAGATCTCTGATCGTCGGACTTTTCCAACTGCTTTCGCTTCGGTGGCGTTTTCTGCGGTTCGACTCCATCGGAGTCAGACTTTTTCATCGATGTGGACTATTTCTTACAGAAATAGTTTCTCGATGTTCTGGGAGACCGACGTTTCCCATCGGTGGTGGTCGCGTCCTCCCATCGCAAGCGAACACCACGAGACCTTACTGGTCTCTTCGTTGGAGGGCTCGGTGCAAAGATGTGCAAAGCATCTATGCCCGGAACTTCAAAGAATCCGACCTTGGATGCACACTCGATATCACCTATGAGTTTGGTGGCCCTATTGGTGATGGACGACAAGGGCAAATCGAGGGTAGCCAGGAACTGGCTTCATCGATCTCCTCGAATCTACTGAGGGCATCGGAGATGTTCGCCTTGGTCGGCACACGTTCAAGCCGATGAGCAATGCCTCGTCGATTGTGCCACCTCCAATGAGGGGCGATGAGGCAGTTCACTGGTTGGTGTTTACCGATGCCTTTGAGGAGCACATGACGTGATGCCTCGTTGTCACAACACTGTATATCAAATCGTTCCAACCAAGGCTCGAAGACGAAAGGCGCCAAAATAGCGGCCCAAGCTTCGAGGATGTAAATGAAGGCTTCGTCGGAAGAAAACTGTAGAAGTAGGACCGAAGGAAGTCTCCCCTGAAAGTAGGCAGCTTGTGTACGTCACCTTGGTGGAAACACACCGCTGCCCAACCGTTCTCGATGTCTTTTGTTGCGTTGGAATCCCAATTGGGCAGATCGTCATCGCCTGGGCGGTAGATCTTCTCTCCCAACTTGAAGTAAGCATCGGTGTAAATGACACCGTAGGTGTCTGCCACTGGGTTTCGTGGAATAGTCATGGGTTTGCAGTGTACGATGATGTCTCGAAGTGCCAGCAGTGATGATCGAGTCGGTTTATCGAGATTGTTCATGTTGGAGTTGGCTCTGGCGTACAATGCTTTCAGCGCCGCGCGGCCGACTTTGCCGAAGAGGCGCCCGGTCAAAGAGTTACACTTACCGGCCATCTTCCTGGCCTCCTCCGGAGTGAGTTGGTTCGTTCGCAAGTGTTTGTCAGTCTGTTGCGACATTTATTTGACTCGGGAAGGACAAGGAGTAAGCGCGAGGTTCTCCGCATCGGAAGAAATCAAGACCCCTTGGATCCGGTGTTGAGTCTCCGGTGGCTGTCGCCTACTCGGTTTCATTGAGATCTCAAGGCAACCGTTGCTTCTCGGGAGTCACACAGGGGCAACTGTTTGTATGCTCCGTCGTAGTCATGTCCCCAAACCTTCAGCGGTGTCTCTCTATCTTGTTCCAGGAAGGCCAAGCCAAGGGAAACGAAGTGGTCCGAGGTATGGTGGTAGGGCTGGTCGCGCATGATGCAAGTGGAGTTGTGTCCAATCTTCACCTCTCCGTATCTTGGCTTTCCCATCGCTGCCAGCCTGTTCGATGCTGACAGCCATGGCGATGAAAGGATCGTCGTGAGGCAAAGGGAGCAATTTGTTGACACCTTCGTGTCGTGGAGCCACAGTCAAAGTGGGCCACCAATCCGGGGCTGCAAAGGGGCCACTCATGCGCCCCATTTTGACTTCTCCGATGATTTCGTCAAGTATGAACTCCCAGCGGTCATCAATCTTGTTCATTTCGATCTTGCCCCGAATGTACTCATGGTTCTTGGTCTTGAACTCTTCCAACGGTGTAGGGTCCAGGTACTTTTTGTCCTGCCGAACGTGCCAGTTTACTCCAGGAGTAAGCTTACCCATCAATGGGAATCCTTGGGAAAGTTCGCGATATAGAACCTCTGCTTGTCGGCAACGAAGGAGTCGGAGTAGGTGGATGAGAACGGGTATTTGTGTGACTGATGTCCCACGCCGATAGGCTCGTTGGACGTGGGTCGGCAGAGCGTGGTACCATGCCGTGGTCTGTTCTTCAAAGTCGATGACCAAGTCCTTGATCTCGGAGATGACGTCCTGTTGGAATCGAGGTAGCGGATGAAACAATCGGCGGTATGCTAAACACCATCGCAAAGTAGGATCGAGGTCTTTCGGAGCCCGATTGGTGTTCCGATGTAGGGCCCACTCGAGGTGTTGCGTCCAGGAGTACTGCGGCATGTAATCGTGTTGACCAACACGCGGAGGCGGTCCGAACGGCACTCCGGTGTAATTGCATAGGTTGATGACTTTGTCGAGGGCTGACTCGCAGGGAAAGCTGCAAAAGGATGGTTCCACGTGGACTGGCACGACTTCGCTCGAAGATGGCCGAGATGGCGGCGGGGTAGCTGGTCGCGAATTCTCGGGGATGTCGTTGTTGATCCACTCGGAGACCCACGGATCTTCGCCCTGTCCTTTTGCATCCCAAGCTTGTCGAACTTCGTGCCCACATTGATCCCAAACATCATCATCGTCGGCTGGTGACGGAGTAGTAGTCGGAGGAGGGACCGGTGGCGCAGTCTCGTCGACCTCGACAATAACCGGTGTGGTCGTCGGCGCCTCTCCCGTGGCACTCTTGTCGGCACGACCCCTATCCCCCACATCGCCTTGGCGGAAGGAGGATCGGGGAGCACCGAATCGAGGGGCTGAGGACGCGAAATATCGAGTGGGTGGTGGCGTGGCCGATCGGGCCGGAGGAAGCGGAGTCCTCGTCGGGGTACGCGGCCGACGATCGCTCCACGCAGCGGCCTGTCTGGATGGAGCCCTGGACGATGCCGGTGGAGGAGAAACACCCCGACCGCGTCCAACAGGAGAGGCTGCTCGTTGACCACCGCGGCGTTCATCATCATCCAAGAATCGTGGTCGTACTACGGGGTGTAATTCGTGCCGAAGCGCCAGTTCCTGGTCGTACTGAGGCGATACAACGCCAAAGTATTCATAATCATCGTTTCGGCATCTCTCCGGTTGACTTGTCGAAGGATACCGCCCTCGATGGAATCGTAGGAAAAGGGGGTCCGATCTCGTCGTAGAGCCTGTTGTGCACGAACGGCTCGGCACATCGCCTCGTCGAACGTATTGCCATGTTGATTCCAACATCTGCCAGAATAATGGCAAACTCCTTGGAACCACTTATGGCAAATCAGATCGTGGACCACCCACTTGCCCGACATGAAGTCGGGGTGTAGACAAGGACAGTTCGTCATGCTGTCGCAATTCTTCGAAGCCAAAATGCGGGGGCAAGATTCGAAGATTGCTACCGGAGATATGAACCACCTTCGAATTCTCCACCTCCTCGGGGAACTGCTCAAGCATGCTCGACGGAACTTCGACGCCAGGAGGGAGCGCGTTGATGGTGCCTTCGCACAAGAAGCTGAACCAAGAGTTCGATCGTCGAGCAGCCATGACGACACTCGTCGTAAAGTCGCAGTAACCCAAAAGAGAGGAAAAAAAGGCTTTCAGAAGAACTTAAGCCAAATGGCAACGGTATATGCAACAGCTTCGCATTCAATCGGATTCAGCAGATCCACTCGCGGTCCGACAGGTGATTTGATGAAAGCAATGAGTTGTTACTTCGCACACAAGTGTGCTACACGTCAAAATGCGACCGTATTCCTTGTGCGCACCATGATGCACAGATGCAAAGTGTCACGGCACGGTACATGTCCTGTTCAGCAGGCACCTTACTGTTCAGCATTCTGAGGCTTGCGATTATGAGTTCGGTGTTTGGCGGAATTTTCGGCTGACCGAATCTGTTTTTTTGTTTTAGCCGTGCGTTTTTCTCCTGTCGGTTCAGGGCTTCGGGTTTAGTTTAGAGTTTCGGGCTTAGGGCCTGGTGTAGGGCTGTGGGGTGCTCAGAGATTGGAGTTGAGAGGGTTGTAGGATTGTGCATTAGTGTTTAGGGTTTACGATTTCATCTTTAGGATATCTTCAGGCTATAGGCTTCGGGGTTTGGGATTTGGGCTTTCTGCGTGTCTGTTTTAGCCTGTGGTTGCGTATTTGCAGTGGCAATCGGGACAACTACCCAGCACAAATGTCGCCAAAAACGAGAAAAAGCAAACGAATGCTTGAGCATCCGGCCGGCACACTGCCGACGTGCAGGAATCGTGGCTGCGCAGCCACGACATGGCGCGCCTCATGGCACATGTTCTTTTCAACGGGAAATGTTTTGTGGGCTCAAAAACATTGTGGCGCGAACCAATCGCGAAGCTATTCGGTGCAAGGCACCAGAATCGCACCTGGCGATTTGGAGAAGCCCGTGAAAGGTCTGATATCAAGCATATTCAAGCATCGCTGAGTGGGATCATGTGGACAGCTCGGCGTAGGTGGCTCTTTTTTTTTCACTTCGGGGTTGAGACACTGGCAGACCCAGTGCCCCGCGCTCCAGGCGCTTCTCCATCCAACATGTGGTCAGATGGAGAGCCTGCGGAGCGTACATAGGTGGCTCTCTCTTGCTTGCTTGCTTGCTTGCTTGCTTGCTTGCTTGCTTGCTTGCTTGCTTGCAAGGCGTTTGGGCGAACCTCCTCCCCCTGCGCTCTCGCGCTACGCCACTGTCCCACCTTCTCTCTCTCTGTCTCCCTCCCGGGCATAGGGGCCGCGGGCAAAAATGCCACCCGATGTTGTTAATCGGGGTGAGGGGAGTGAGGAACGAGCATAGAATTGCTAATGACTCAAGTCCTATAGTGTACGCTAACGGAGCTCTCTCTCTCCTCTCTCAGATAGATTCTCGCTCCTAGCTTTGGAGTTGTCAGATTTGCGCCTGCCACCGCTCACTGACACCAAACCAGCCATCCGACCAGTGCCCGAAAGGCTGTCTGCCTTGGCCAAGACGTCGGGGCGGACTCTTGCAACTTCGATTGCCGCTCACACGCACAAAGACTGATGTCGTACAGAGTCGAAGAGCCCCGGGGCATCAGAAATGCTGGACACTCTCCCTGACTCTCCCTAGATCTTGTGGCTCTCGTGCTGTACTGCAAGACTGCAATGCTGTGCAACTGTGTCCGCGAAATCCCGACTACTGTACTCTGCACAGAGTGCTCAAGATGCTCAAGATGTCCGTGCAGTGGGTGTGATTTCCTGACCAAGCACATGGAATGCGGCTTCGAGGTCCAGATCCACCCTGTGGCCTTCTGCCATTGCTATACGAGGCTATGCGTGTGCTCTCGGAAGGCGCTCTACACCGATGCATGCAGACAACCCTGCAGGATCAAGAGTTGTTGCGGTCTATGCTGAGAAGCTTCTCAAAGGTCGACTCATGATCAAGACCTATTGAATACCTAGACAAGTTCTCGGAAGCTCATGCCGTGTGCCGAGTTGCAAATTTTGGGTGCACGTATCCTGCCACGACTCCTTCCGCAGGGGCCTTCAAGAAGTGCACCTCAGAGCATGTACCGGCGGCACGCACCACAGGTGCTAGGCTCTGAAATCAGCCTCAGACATTAGCGAGGACGAGTTTTTCGCCCAGTACCTTATGCGGTGCATTGGCTCTAAGAGCTGCGAGGTTGTCGCCTTTGCACTTCATGGCAGGCGTCTGACAGCACTTCTGGCAAGGCACGACTGCGACAGCAATAGCAAATCTTGCCGGGCAGCACTTCCGAGCTCCAGCAGGGCTTCAGAAAGAGGTGCTCCCTCTCGAAGTTGCCTTTGCCCGACTAAGACGTAGCTTACGTAGCTGCGCCGCACTCAACGGGCCCTCTGTCTTGGGCGTGGACGGAGGTCTCTCCGGACCATCTGCCACTCTCATTGCCAGTGCAGCCTGGTGAGACAAAGTATTAGTATGGGAATTTGCGTGCAACGGACGGGACAAGCATCTGGCAACTCCACTCTCGGACCTCAATACCAGCGTCGGCTGTCTCAGGCTCTGCTGCAAGCATCTTCGCTAGGTGCCTCAGCGTCCTGCAGCACAGTGAATGAACTTGGCAAGGATACCACGCTTTGGAAGTTCCGGGGGGCACACTGCTGAAAGAGCTCGTTCCGGGTCACGAAATCCGTCTCAGCCTCAGGCTTCCAAGCATGACTCTGGTGAAGTGGGGGCGGTGAGCTGGGAGAAGTGCCCTTAGCTCCACGATAACCCCGTTTTTGTCAAGGCCCAGGGAGAGAAGTGCCTCAGAGATTGCCGGGCCCAGAGTGGATCTTCGCTTGTCCGCGTCGCCAAGGGCCAAGGTCCTGACTTCCATCGATTCTGCAGCACGCTTTTCCATGGATCGCACGCCACGCTTCTTCAACCATTCCACCGCCTGCCACTCAGCGACAATAGTCCTGTTGCCGCTCAACTTTCCGCTTGCGATCGCTCGCCACTTGCACCTCTTCCAAATCACCGCTCTCTTTCAGCGCTTCCCGACACCTGAAGCAGCAGACTTTCGACAAGATGTACTCAGCACACGAGCTCCAAACACGGTCATGTCTGAGATGAAGGCTTTCCTGTCAGCAGGGAGACAAGCTAATAAACTCTACTAAAGGCGAGGTGGTGAGGCGCACCCATCGATGCCCCGGTCCGATCTCTGAGCTCCTGGACATGGCATATTGCAAGCGAGTCTGGGCATAATTTTACCGCTTTTCGACCGGATCGCCTACGAACTACGAACCACAGGAATCAGTAAAGAGTGGTAAGCGAGGGTCAGTTCGCACAATATGCTCCACCACATCGGCCGACTTCCAGCACATGTTTGCGGAATTTTGGACACTCATCGCCATGCTACATCGAACAGCTTGCAGCTGACTCCGGCTTCGACTGCATGTAGACGGGGAGCGAAGCTTTTACTTCATAGCAACTATGGTATCAACATTCCAACATAGTGGGGCCTCTGCCGGAGCCTTGCTGCATTTTCATCATTTTCGCGATTCAAACTCAACCCTCTCACGCTTTCGCACGCTTTCGCTCCGCAGTCCTTGACACGAGCTGCCGACACCGCACAGAAGCCATGCCTTGCGGCCTTGAAGCAAGCAGGTGACGGCCGCGCCTCAGTGGGTGTCCCCATGAATGAAAAAGAGCGTTAATGAGCGGTAAATCGCAAGTGTCTCTTGGTTTTGGTTTCGACCTGCCAGCTGATCAAAGGCTGTCTCCAGTTTCGGGAAAGAGAATCTGCTGTCACCGACGACTGTCAAAATCTTGCACAAGAACCCACTGTACAAGATCCCTAGCCGCTACCACAGCCCAGATTCACAAGCTCGGGTTGCCCAGCAAGGGAGGAGGAGATAATTTCACACGCGAAAGAGCTGAGCCGTTGACTCGGCTGCAGAGCTCCACGAGGCTACGCCTGTCAGACTCATGTATGACTCTCCGTGACTCCTCTGCGTTGAATGAAGCTGTCACAATTGGCCTACGGGCCTACGATTGTCCGCTGGGGTTATTCTGATGTGCGAGGCAGCATAGCCCAGAGCCACACAATTGGTTGCGCAGAAGGGATGTGATGCCTGGAGCTGCACCATGCACCAGGCAGCTTCAACAGATTGCCTTACAGAGACCGACACGCGTTGATTTTGATTTTGGCTGGCTCATTCGGCAGGCACTCGTCTACAGTGGGAGGAAGCAACTCCACAAGGTGCCCATGCTACATAAATGCACTGCAAGTGCGTCTGCTGCACGGCCTTGCTTGCATCAGTCTCAGCCCCTTGCGCATGCACATGATGCTCAACGGACACCGAAATGACGGCTTGACAGCTAACCCCGCTTTGCTTGCGACTGGGGCTAGAGTCTTTGTTTAGAGATAAGGCTGTTGGTTCAAATCTTCAACTTCTAGCAGACAACTCCTCAAATGGCACAGGAGAGGCTTCAGAACTTCGTGCGTCTTGTTTTGCCGAAACGTGATGAGACACACACTGAAACACGCGCCAAAACAAAATTCCGCACAGACGCACACACACACACACTTTTGCTACGGCTGAACAGGCCCAACCTTCTTTTCTGACTGTGCCATTACCTCGCCATTGGTCTCACAACTCGCCGGCTGGAGGGATGTGGAGACGTTTGCCAAAGGTGAGCTCATGCTTTTTCGGCAGGGTCGTGTCGCAAAAGACGCTCTGCCAGCACACTCCACGCCGTTGTTCGAGCATTGTACACGCAGTGCGGCATCTGCTTGTTGGGCAAGCCGATCTCGACAGACGCTGGGTGCAAACACAGCGGTGGTGGACCCATCCACCCATCAGAGGGGCTTGAGGAAAATCCTTGTCTGAACGAGTCATAGAACGGTGAAATTGGTGTATTTAGGAACAATGACGGAACTGCCTGATGCCGGAGGAATGTTGGGCAACGTCAGGCGCAGTTGGGGTGTGCTACGGTCAAGAAGTTGGAGTCAAGAAGCATCACTTCTTCTGCTTCGCAAGCTCCCTTCCTCGCTGTTCCGCCTTGTCCTCCTCCGACCTGATCTGAAAACTTGGTTTTCCCTCTCATTTAAGGCTTGTCGACGGCTACAGTAAGAAGCGAGCATTCCTTTGCCCTTTCCCTTACCTTTCTTTCCTTTACCCTTGCCCTGACAGCAAAGGCATGTGATCTTACAGCTTTCCGTGCGTGAAGGTATTCTGCCCGCCTTTCCCTTGCCAGGGTTCCGCCGGAAGAAATTCTTTCCTGTTTTCGAGACTGTGTGCGCGTTGAACACCTCCTCAGGCCACAGGCTGCGGTGAAGAACACAACGCCCCCAAAGTCTTCCAAAGATATGGCTCTGCAAATCCAAGGCACATCACAAACCAGGCAGGCCTGGCAGCATTTGGCAGCACAAGCAGCACGACTTCATTGCTCTCGTCTGCTGAAGGCACCAGCTGGTTCCTCGTCAAACTTCGGACTGACTTTGTTTGTCACCCCTGATTGCCTTCTTTTCCATCTGGCCGTCCGGCAGCGGTGACTTGCCCTTGCCGAACACGACTTCAAGCAGAACAGACGAACACCTGCTCCACAGGCATTCACATTGTGTTGCATCAAGCATGAGAATCAACCTGAGCCAAGCAACTCCTCGCAGTGGTCACTTGTGACCTTGACCTTGTGGGCCTCTCACTGCACTCGGAGCACAGGCCATCATTACTACCCGGTCCTAGCCTTGTCCTCGAAAATTGCCAGCTGCTGCAAGCCTCGGGCTAGCAGCAGTGCGAGAATTCTTCAAAGCTGAATCGTGTTCTTAGGTCACCGCAGACGTTGCAATCAATCTGCCACTTTGGTCCGGAGTCCACATCCAAGCAGAGAGTTCCAGAACAGTTGTCGGCGATGCACGACATGACCTGGAGCGCAGGGACGTTCTCCCAATGCGGCCCCATGACAACAAAACATGTCAACGATTGACAACATCGTGTAATTGAATGGTGGTCCAAACAAGTCGTTCTAGCACCTGTGCAGCGGACAAGCAAAAATGTTGGGAAGGGTTGCTTCAGATCCGGCTGCCTTCCACGTGACAAGCCGTGTGTCAATCTGCTGGCCAATACTGCTTGACAGCTGCGGTTCGCCCCCCCCACCCCCGGGCGCGGAACAAGCTTAGACAAGGCACTGCTGGGCGATACTTTTTGTATATGGGATGATCCAGATTCCAATGTTTGCCTTGCCTCATCAGGGAAACTGCCGAAAAAGCAGATTCAATGATGTTAAATTCTGAACCCAAGTCAAGTAGTCTTGCAGCTTGGCTTCTCCTCTCTTGCACCGAACGGAGGATCATCGTAGCACATCGGACAGATTGGGTAGCTCTTGCCCACCTCTACTCATGGCAATGGCTTCGACTCCGACAAGAGGAGTTTGTCACAATGCTGATTCCCTCAAACGAAGTCGGCCTTGTTGGAAACGAAGACCAACCTTCAGCTTAGGCACAAGCCACAAGCGACAGTGGCTGAAGGCACCCAATCGGTGTAAGATCATACCCACGAACCTGAGAGTCCAACATCGCCTGATGGCACTCGGTGGAGATGCCAGGAGGAAATCGCTATTCGAGCGAATTCTAGCACCGAATGCGAGGGCACCGTGGTGGCGGGAGCACGATTTCAAACCTACAATGCGACACTGTAGCAAGAGCACGACGAGGAGGTCGACAGCTGCAACCCTCTCACAGAAACCTGTGAAAACAACGAAACGCCAAAGGCACCCTGTTGAAAGCGCAAACTCCGACTGTCGGGACTGCAGAACCTCTTGCTAACAATGGTGGTGATTTCGCAAATTTCCACAACACCGGCGAAAACGGATGTGAGAGTTCACATGAAGCATGGCACAGTGCAGCCAGCCAGCTCGAAGTTGTCCAACGGACATTTAAGCTCCTTGTAGAGCTTCATCTGCCCGTTCTGAGGCATTTTGAAAATTCGATTGCACCTGGGCAACTCAGGACCCAACTATTCCAGCAACTCATGTAGGCATTGGAGTTGAAGCAAACTCTTACAGCTTATCTTTGAGTTGCTTGCGTTTTGCAGAACATCCGTACCGGCTTCCTGTCCACCACTGACAGATACCTCGCCATGAGACTTCAGCCGGTAACCCAACAGTGTGCGACAGGCCCACCACATGCAGCCGAGCTGCCTCTGACAATCCCCACACCTGGAAAGTGGCCGGCCTGCAGCCTGATCACAGCTCCGTCGCCCACAGAAACCCTGAAACAGCTGACGCGCCGGGGGACGACGAAGACCGCGAGCCGAAATCGTGGTTCGTAGTTAATCCCAAATACCAACCATCAAATTAGCGACAACTCTGTCGTGCACGCTGTCACTCCTCCTACTTGCCCTTTGCACTCCCAGCGGATTGAATTTATCACGCGGCATACACAGGCATGTGCGCAGTGCAAGCACGGATAGGCACTGCCTCCAAGGACTTGAATATGGTCTCGAACAGCTGGTCCACAAGATCGACATTCGCAACCTGTCAAGTCGCAAGTTTTACTTCGGAGCCCTGCAAAGCATCGCTCAGTATACAGGCAGTCCCAATTTAAGCAAAGCTACATAATAAATGAATTTATCGCGAAAGAGTCGTAGACAGTGCTGAACAACGGGCATCAGGTCAGCTTTGCCCTCCGCTACCAGAGTGCAGTTCTTCTCCATGTTTGCACGCACCTTGGGAATGACCAACTCATTGTCCACCATCTGATACCCATGCACAAGGGCGATCCCCAGCTGCGTTGGGATCAAACGTCGTCCGTCTGCAAGCTTAACATAGTTTCGCTCGCAGATGTTGTTGATATGTGTTGCCATGGATGCATCTGTTCCAATCCCATGTTTCTCCATAAGCGAGAGAAGGTCAGATTCCGAGAGGTATGGTGGAGGACGAGTCTTGTGGCTTCCCATTGAAACCTTTTTCACTTCAACTGCCTCTCCCCTACTGAAGTCAGGGATAACGACATCCTCCATCTCACCACTGCGCTGGATGGCCGTGAAGCCGGGATCAATGACTTTTCGGCCCGAGAGCGAGAAGCCTTCGCTGTTTATGTCAAAGTTAACTCGTGTTCGCAGAAACTTGCAGTCGGCACTGACAGTGGCCAAGAAGTGTCGCGTGATCATCTCCTGGGCACACACTTCTTGTGACAGCTTTACATACGAAACGCTCGCGAACTAAATTCTCAGCCAGGCTGCATATAAGCGATAAGCATCTCCGAGCTGGCTCTCAGATGCGGCACGCACCGGGGTAATGGGCGGATGGTCACCCATGTCAACACCTTCCGCCGAATGGATGCGAACGCGACGCTTTGCAATTTTCCCTAAAGCGAAGATCTGCCTTCCCGCGCTTTGGCGAGTCCTCTTGAAAGGAGATCTTGAGAGTATGCACCCCAGGTGTGATGCCCAGCTTGTGCGCGAACAGCCCCCTGTGCACAGAGTTGCGCAAGAAAGCTTGTGTGCTTGCCCCCTTGCCTGCAAGTCGAAGTTCTTGGGATATGTGTTGGTTTCCGTGCGTGGGTACGTCAGGTAACCATCCAGGTACAATCGCTCCGCCATGTGCATCGCCTGCTGTGGTCCAAGTCCAAGCCTGCCGAA